AAAACATTAGTTTAGACTGTTTGGGATTGATCTTGTTTCTTTAGATAAGTCTGTATTGCTATGTACTTCCCTCTTAGAACCACTTCTGCATCCCACAAATTTTTGTTTTCATTTGTCTCCATGTATTGCTTGGTTTCTGTTTTGACTTTTTCATTGACCCATCGATCATTTAGAAGCAGGTTGTTTAGCATCTATGTGCTTGTGGGCTTATTTTCTCCATGTAATTTATTTCTAGTTTCATATCACTGTGGTCTGAGAATTTGCTTGATACATTTTCAATCTTTGTGAATTTACTGAGGCTTTTTTTGCGCCCTAGTATGTGATCTCTTCTGGAGAACGTTCCATGTACACTTGAAAAAAATGTGTATCCTGCTGCTTTGGGGTGGAAAGGTCTACAGATATGTTAAGTCCATCTGATCTAATGTGTTGCTCAGTGCCTTGGTTTCCTTATTTATTTCCTGTGTGTCTGATTTACTGATTAAGTGGTGTGTTGAAGTCTCCTAATATGAATGAGTTGCAGTCTACTTTCCTCTTTATTTTGGTTAATATTTGTTTTATATATTAAGGGGTTCCTATATTGGGTGCATAGATATTTATAATGGTTATAGCCTTTGATTGGACACCTTTATCATTATGAAATGTCCTTCATTGTCTTGTTACTTTCTTTGTTTTGAAGTCTATTTTGTCTGAGTACTCCTACTCCTGATTTTTTCTCCCTATTATTTGTAGGAAATATATTTTTTCTATCCCTTCATTTTCAGCTTCTGTATGTCTTTGGGTCCTAAATTAGTCTCTTGTAAGTAGCACATAGATGGGTTTTGTTTCTTTATTCATTTTGACACCCTATGTCATTTGATTGGTACATTCAATCCATCTACATATAAAGTAATTATTGATAGGTATATACTTATTACCATATCTCAAATTATTTTATGCTTAATTTTATAGTTCCTCTCTGTTCCTTTTTTCCTCTCTTATACTCTTCTATTATTTGATGATTTTCTTTAGTGTTGTAATTAGATCCCTCTTTTTAAATTTTTTGTATATCTATTATATGCTTTAGGTTTGTGGCTACCATATGTTCAAGGGTAGCTTCCTAACTATATAACAGTCTATGTTAAGTTGATGATTGCTCTATTTCAAACACAATCTAAAATTACTTCTTTCTTCTTCTTCTGCTTCCTCCTCCACACCTTATGTATTAGATGTCATGATCTGCACCTTTTGTGTAACTTGACTAATTTTGTATATAGTTGGTTTTACTGATTTTGCTTTGTTTTAGTATTATACCTGTTTGGTAAGTAATTGGTCTACTACCTTTACTGTCAGTTTATTTTAACTGGTGAAAACTACTTATGCTTAATAACATTTCCCTCCACAGAAGCCCCTTTAACATGCCCTCTAATGCCAGTTCAGTGGTGGCAAATTCCTTCAGCCTTTGTTTATCTGGGAAATGTTTAATATCTCCTTCAAATTTGAATGATAATCCTACTGGGTAGAGGATTCTTGGTTAAAGGTCCTTCTGTTTCAATATATTAAATAATTTATGCCCCTCCCATCTGGCCTGTAAAATTTCTGCTGAGAAATCTGCTGATAGCCTGATGGGGTTTCCCTTGTGAGTAATCTTTCTCGGGCCCTTGGCTGCTTTTAATATCCCCTCCTCAATATTTGTCATTTTGTTATTATAAGTATATGTGTTATCCTCCTTGAGTTCCTTTTGTTAGAAGTTCTCTATGCTTTCAGGATCTGGATGTCTATTTCCTTCCCCAAACTGGGGACATTTCCAGCAATTATTTCTTCAAAGAGACTTTCTATTCTTTTGTCTCTAGCTTCTCCTTCTGGTACCCCTATTGTGCAAATATTGTTTCACTTGGTGTTGTCACATAGCTCTCTCAGCATCCTCTTATTTCCAGAGATTATTTTTTCTCTGTGTTCCTTAGGTTTGTTTTCTTGTTTTCTAATTTCCATCTCCTTGTTTCCTCTACTTGCAACAATCTATTATTCTTTCCCTCCATTGTATATTTCATTCTTCAGTTCTCAATGGCTCTTTTTCAGCTCTTCTAATCTCGGAAGTTCTCCATGAGATCATCAATACTTTTCCATAGATCAGTGAGCATATTTGTGACTGTTACCAAGACAATTGGTGATCTCTTTCATTTAGCCTTCATTTTAGTGGCTTATCCTGTAGTTTTGTTTGGAACATATTCCTCTACCTCCTCATTTTATCAGGGTTTCTGTGTTTCTACCTTTGTATTATAGACCCACTATGGTTCCTGGTCTAACTCAGCATCCTCTTATTTCCAGAGATTATTTTTTCTCTGTGTTCCTTAGGTTTGTTTTCTTGTTTTCTAATTTCCATCTCCTTGTTTCCTCTACTTGCAACAATCTATTATTCTTTCCCTCCATTGTATATTTCATTCTTCAGTTCTCAATGGCTCTTTTTCAGCTCTTCTAATCTCGGAAGTTCTCCATGAGATCATCAATACTTTTCCATAGATCAGTGAGCATATTTGTGACTGTTACATGGAAATCTTTACCAAGACAATTGGTGATCTCTTTCATTTAGCCTTCATTTTAGTGGCTTATCCTGTAGTTTTGTTTGGAACATATTCCTCTACCTCCTCATTTTATCAGGGTTTCTGTGTTTCTACCTTTGTATTATAGACCCACTATGGTTCCTGGTCTAGAGAATAATGTCATTATGAAGATGGCATACTGTTGTAACCATAGCTCAAGATTCTTTAATCTCCAATGCCTGTTTCCTTTGTGGTGAAGACCCAGTTGTTGTTGGTGGGCTTTGGGCAGAGTCACCTTTCTTCCTGTCTGCAGGCAGTGGCCTATCACAGTCCAGCATGGATGGTAGCTTGCTTCAGTTAGCCCTTTGTGAGCCAAGCAGATGCACTTCTGCTGGAAATGTTGTGGGCTAGGCCACCCTCTGCCTGCCCTGAAGTGATAGTGGCATTGTTGGGCTAAGGGGTGGGCAGGACAATCATGCGGCTCTAGGCTGGATGCATGGGTGTGCAGTCTCTCTGTGGTGGGCATGAATGCTGAGCACCAGGCTGAGCCATAAATGAGGAAGTAGGAGTGCTCAGAGCATGCTTATGTCAGCACCTCCCCAGTTGGGTTGAGATAGGGCCAAGAAATCTGTTAAAGCCACCCTATGCTTGCCAGGCAACATGTCTGACACTGCTGGACCAAGCAGGTCAGGTGAAAGGCAGGCAGAAGTGCAGGGAAGCACCTTGGGGATGAGCTACCACTGAGGGGAATGGAGCATTTAGGACTCCTGAGAGTGCCTGACTTTTGGGCAGTGGGATGGCTAGGGAAGTGTCATCCACCAGCCCTTTCTTCCTATTGAAAGAGCTCCATCCAACTCTTGCCCCTCAGGCACCCTTCCTGCTGTTGGTAAATCTTTCAAACTGCCGCCTCTGTGTTTGGTCTCAGTGGGATCACAGGAGCTTGTCTATTCTCGACCAACAGCTGGAGTCTCAGTCTTCCAGTTGCTCTAACTCTCCCTGGTGTCCAGCCCCACTAATCACCATAACCCAGTGCAATGTGGACTCATGTTCCCAGAGCAGATCTCCAGGGCCAGGTGTGCAGAGTTCCTAAGTGCCTATCCCCTCCCTACTCCTTCCTCTTCCTCCCACCTGTGAGCTGGGATGGGGGAAGGACTGGGGTCCCAGCTACAAAGATTAGCAATCTCTCAAACCTCAAACTGCCACTTTACCTTTCTCTGTGTTGTTTTCTCTTTCTCATCAGGTGTAAGTGGGCTGTTCTGCAGTGTTCAGGTCATTTTCAGGGTTAGTTGTATTTACTGTGGTTTGTTCCTTAGTGTATGTATGTGTGAGGCGGTTTTCACCTTGCTTTTCTACTCTGCCATCTTTTTTCCCCTGTCTCTGAGACTGTTTTCTTATATACATTTTTTTCTCAGTTTTATTGCGCTGACTGCTGAAATTTATCATGTGCTTTTTTTCTCCATTTATTATCATCACATGATTTCACTATTTTTAGTTTGTTGATATAATTTATAGTATAGTAGATATTTTAATATAAACCATCTCTGGATTCCACAAATTCTAAGCGGTCACACTATATAATTCTTTCAGTACACTGTTGGATTCTGTTGGTTAAAGTTTTAGTTAGAATATTATACCCATAATCTTAAGTGAAATTGGTCTTCTACAGTTTCACTTTCCAGCATCTTTTTTCATGTTATAAGGGCTGTATATAATCACTAGGGAGGTGTTCATCTTTTTCTAATGTACCAGAAAAATACCAGCATTTGAATTTGCTGCCATTAAATGCTAGAAAGAACCTAGCTAGATAGTACTTAAAGTTTTTCCATTTCTTAGCAAATGGTCTTAAATTTTCTATTCCACTTTAGGTGTGAATTTGGGGCACTTATATAGCTTCAACAATATTAGTTTCCTCTATGAACTCACATTCGTTAACACATGTTCAGGTACAACTGCTGAGTAAAGCAGTGGTCCCAGCAGGGTCTATCACTTGGTCCCTGTGAGGTTCCAAAAAGAAAGCTGTATGCTCCCTATTTCCTAAGCTACAAAGATTAGCATGCTCTCAAATCTCAAGTGTAAAGAAAGTTCACGCATCTGTATTCAGCTTTTCTCTACATATGTGGAAGATCTTATCTCTACCATCCAGGTTTTTGTTTCCAGTTAACTAGCTCTGTGTTGCCCAGAGAAGGCATAAGTCCTTCACTAATTTATGTTATTGGAAAACTGTCAGTCAAGATCCAGCTCACATGTTGAAGATCAGATCAGCCAAACACAAGATGCTCAACTTGCAGATGAACTGGAGTTGAGCAGAGAGCTACAGAGATTTGTACTATCTAACCAGGGTCATCATGATGTTCTCAACAAATTAATTTTTAATTTTTTGGTAATAAAAGTTGCTTAGACCATACTTTCATTTTATGTATGTAGTCTCCTGTGATTATCATTAAAAAATGGTATATCCTCACACCAACCATATGTTTAACCTACCTCAAATTCTGCATGTCTGTGAATATCCTCTGCTCGCTGTCTGCTCAGGATAAATTCAGCTTCATTTGCTACTCTTACTAGATGATCCTTCATTGTTTGGCTAAGCAACCTATTAAGAGAGGAATATTTTCAAATCAATATTATATACATACATATACAACATACGATTATCACTGCTCAAAAGTGGTGTATTCTATAATCCGGCGGAGGAAAGAATGTGTACTCTTCTCTTCTGATATCATGATATAATGAAGTGCCATTATTTCACACTAAATAATAGAAGGAAATAACAGCAAAAAAGCCATCCTTCTTACAATAGCAGGTTAGCATTTATCATACTAGCTATCCAACAGAAGCAACTAAAAATGCTGAATTAAATATTTGTGGTATGATCTTTTTTAAAGTATTAGAGAGTTTCCAAGGCAGCCAGGATTTAAGGAGCCAATATCCTAGAGAAGAAGACAGCACACAAAAAACATTCAGCATGACTTTCCCATTGAAGCATTTAATGTTCAACAGTGAGAAAAGAGAAGCTAAACAGAACTATTATCATTCTTACAGAGCTAGGTAGACAAAAATTGAATTTTATAACCTGCTGAAAGAGTCCTAATATACTACCAAAACTTACAGAAGGAACCCAGGTACATCCTAAGAAACAGAATAGATCACTCCTCAAAAACACTAAACAGACCCTCAAACAACATCATGGTGATTTGTATTTAGATTAACTGGTGGCCAAAAAACTAAACAAAATGTTCAGAATTTCACAGGGTGAGGGAGAAAAAAAAATAAGAAATATCAATGCAGGAGAACCAGGGTAAAACCCTAGATTTTCAGAAGACCTCATAGGGCTACATGCTAGAGAACACAAACTAGAAACACGGCAAACTCTCACAAAGATTTTTTTAAATCCATCTTGAAGCACTCAGTCCTAAATTCACATAATCACCACATAGTCAAACTGCTAATCAGAAATCAAAAGGAAATCCTCTCTAGAGGAAGATATCATCATCTAGAGACTTACACTTACCCCTGAAATTTTATGTACAATTTCCAACATTCAACCAGCAATAATAGGAAATAGCAAAAAACACCAACAAAGAAATGAAAACCAAATGGAAGCCAACTCACAGAAAACCCAGATAGTAAGGTTTCATACCTGAATATTGAAGTAAATGTACTTAGGATTCAGAACAAAAGATTCTATAAAAAAAACAATTACAGTAGAGATTGGAAACTGAAGAACTGTTGAGAAAAAATGATGAAAACATGTCAAAATAAATAACAGATATATAGGACATGGTAAAAAGGTTTACCATGAGATGTGTATGGAGGAAAAAACGAGAGTAGACAAGTAATTAGAAAAGAGCAATTATTTGAAGGGATAATGGCCAACATTATTCAAAAACAGAAAGAAAAAAACTTAGCCTTATCTTGAGGTGCTACAAACTCCCAGGAGGATAAAAGAAAACCAACCCCAGTCATAACATAGTAAAACAGTCAAAAGAAAAAATATTAAAAGCACCTAGGGGGAGCGAGAAAGTGGAAGAGGTAAGGCATCTTCTTGCCTTCAAAAAAGCAAGAATAAGACTGATGTATGTAAGATAAGAATGTAATGACCTCTTCAAAGTGCTAAAAAAAACAGCAGCTACCTAAGAATTCTGTATCAAAAAACATCTTTCAATAATGAGAGTCAGTGTATAAATGTATATGACCATCAATATTCTTCTTCTGAACTAGAGTCTCCCAAAAGAATTCAACTGTCATAAATCCTCTAGAATGAAGTTTCACAACCAGGGAAAAATTGACTCCTGATATCCAGAGAATAAGAAGTCCACACCTGAAGAAGAAATTGCTTGAAGGGACATTGTCAAAAAACTGTCTAACCTCCCACCATATATTCTCTTAAGAGTCCATTTATTCTTCCTAAAATCTGTCTTTCCTCTTGCCAATCTGTCTTTTGCCAGTTCAATTCACAGGCCCCAGAAAAAGAATCTAAGAGGTTAGAGGAAAAGTATTTCCTCTCAGGCAAAAGCAAAACAAGAACAATTAATGACAAGCAAAACAGTGAATTCATCACTAAACAACCCACTAAAAAGAGTTCTTCAAATAGAGGAAAATATCAGTATGATAATAAAAGACAAGGAAGTAAAAGACAAAGCAATGGAAAAGGTAAACATGGATAAATCTAAAAGAATAGTGAATGTTTACAATTCTGACTTCTAAAATTCAAAAATATGATCTTAAAACACATTAAATAACATTCAAGGTAAGAGAAAATAAAAGGAATTAGTGCTGTAATATTCTTTTACTGAGAATGAATTCATGAAAGAAGAAATTTATACTAGATGTCAACAATTTTTATATTCATGTTGCAATCTCTAAGCAACCACTAAAGGTATCTAAAATAATGTATACCCAATAACCCAACAAGAAAATACTGAATA